CTAGAGATAGTGCCTCAACAAAACACCCGGATATAGGGTTTGCGTCCCACATTTTTTTATCAGCTATTGAAAGAACTATAATTTCAAAACTAATTTTAAATAACAAGATGTTTTCGTTTATAAATTGTTTAATTTTTTTCATTTTTGCGCTGTTGTCAGTGATCAATTATGAGAATGTAATTTTGTTTATTAAAAATCAAATATATTTTTCTGAACCTTTATTTGAGAAATATTATACTATAATCTGATTTGAAACAAATATTATTCACTTAAAGTTTAAAATATTGCAGAAATGCATTTTTTTAACCATGCGGTAGCTTTTTATTTAAGGTGTTGACATTTGATGACAGATGACCGTTTACCTAATGTTGTTCAACGGGGGCCTCATCCTTAAAGCATAAGTGAAGAATTGTCATACCTGAACGTACCTATTCTATTATTAATAGACTCTCCCACACATAATAAGTAGTAGTAGTAGTAGCGGTCGCCAGTTGGGCTCAGTGGTGTTGAGTGAGTCATTCGATGTCGGACATTGAAGTATCAACCATCACAACTAGATTGCTGTGTCATTAACTATTATTTCAAGTTCTTAACGTTTTGTACGTCGAACCTAATTTAGGACGACTTATTGAAATACAAGCCTCCACTGTGAAAACTACTCTACAACAAGAATATAGACCTCTTTTTATATAATTTTTAAGTACACAGTCATCTTCAAATTTTAGGTAATCATTCTCCGTAATTTTACATTTTATTAAATCTTAGATTCTTTGGTTTAATATAGTTATCGGTATAAACAATCGCATCTCTAAAAATCGACACGTTTATAGACATACAAAAAATACAAAATTCTTTTAAAAATATAGGAGTTTCAATTTATGATTAGCAAATATCATTTTTGCGTAATAATAATATCCTCTAAGACGGTGAAAATAAAACAGAGTTTTAAAAGAGTTAAAAACTTACATTATTCTAATTACAGTTTAAAAGTAAATGAAAACAATTCTTGTAAAAATTCATTATTCATGGAATTGTTTTCTTGTCCTTAATATATCTTATTCATAAAAGCAATTAAAAGTTTTTCTAATTAAATAATGTCTTAGTTTTACTTCATTTTTTTTATTTTAGACTTTAGAGCAGCTATTCGGTAAATAGTGTTTCGGTTTTACAAAAAATTGATGATTTAAATTCTCCAAGGAATCCTTCTTTTAACTAATATAAATATTAAGAGTGTTAAATTTAATTTCTCGAAATTTCATAAAATTAAGTGGGTAAAAAGAGATGTAAAATAATAATAAAAAAAAAAAAAATTTACAAGATTTTCTGAAAGAAAACATTTCTAAAATAATCAAGTTCATTTGTGAATAAGTTCTGAAAATTTTATTAAAATCCGACTATTATTGAATTTTTGCAAAAATCTTAAAATCAATGTGTTTTACACCTGAAAATAAGACGTCAAAATGTCATGTATTAATCTTTGGTCACCACTTCAGGTTTCTGACGCAAGAAAAACAAGATATTTTACAAAAATTTCGAACGTGCTAGAATGGATCAAAAAATTTAATGAAATAATCAAAACATACTTTCGTCTTTCCTTTTAATAATAGCATAAACATTTTAACGATAAAACATTGTTTTTATTAAGTTTGAGTATTTTATTTTCATCATGGTATGTTATCTCTTCAAGGAATTAATGGAAGTACCAAACAGTGATTGAATGTTTCTTCGCTCACCCTTGCTCTTTCTTCAACTTTGTTTCTTACATTTTGTAGATATTTCTAAATACTTTTTACAACGTCCGTTTTTAAAATCCATTTTTTATTAAATTTTAGCACCAAGATTTATTTTCATTGTGTTTTAAACCTTTTTCGAATTAGATCTTGAACATTCAGATGAAAACTATGACTAAACTTTCATAATCTTCCTTTGTATTTATTCGGGATTTGATCGATTGTTTTACTGTTTATCCACTCTTTCTGGTTATGTAAAACTAAAACATATTTGGGATTGTATTAATAATTCTTCTTTTGTGAATAATGGATTCAAATTTTTGAGAATAACAACGATTTGTATAGATAATAATTCTACTATTTAATCCATATGGTGAGAGAAGATGAATTCTTACATTTCCCAGGTACATTTGCGGTTTAATGAATGTAACACTCCCGATTGGAGTTGTTCGAGTTCTTTCGACTTTCCTGCTCATTTTCAGGAGCTATATGTTATCATAGTCGCAGAAAATACTTTTTATTAGCTAAAACCTGGAATTCTGTCAAACTTTGTACGTCCTGTTTAAATATTCGGGTATCGTGTAAATGAAGTCATGCATAGCACGTGATATCATTGCATGAGAAGACCAGGAAACGAATTCAATACACATCTTATGTGCATTATAATTATTCTATACAGATAAATATTTAATAGACGCTTTATAACGACTCATTGATCACCTAAAAGATATTTTAGTAGGTTGGTTAATTTTGTTTCGCGGGATCTCAACATCTATAGGTTATTTAGTGCCGAAATCTAAGTAATTTGTACTCACTTTTTTGGTTTGAACTAAATATATATTTTAACTCAATTGTATGCCTTCAACTACAGATAAAATGTATTACAGGTCATTTTGCTTAAAAAATAGATTTTATCATATTACTATATGTATTGTTGGTCATTTTTATATATAATGTATTGCTGTTATTTTTACTATAAAAATATTTTTTATACTTTCATATTTTTTGCTGGTTCACTATTTTCCCAGAGTTGGGACCCTAACAGGAGCTACCACCCCGGATTTGAAAACAACATTAATGACTTTGAAACCTTAACACTCCGACAATGCTGGATGGGTCTAATGTAGCGACTTGATACATAGAAGAATGTTCCGCACTTTCTGTCTTTGTTAAAAATATGTATATTGATGTCGTATCTGGTCTTCTGCTGCTGCTGCTCTACATCTCCAGATTCCCGACAAATTCCAAATAACGGTTTTTAATATTATCATACCTAACCTGACATCTCGTACCTGACATCTCGTCTTCAATCGCGTTGCTTCCCTCTGTTTTTTCTATAAATATATTCAATGGCAGTTGTTCTAATGAGCTCTCCTCCCTTGAACATCGATCCCATCAATTTAAATGTACTACTTGATTAGTAATTAGGTCTCATCGTTTTACTGCTGAAATAACTAGAGGTGACCGTTGGTTGCTTAATTTGTTTCCGTGGCATTTCAACGTCTATGAGTTATTTAGTGCCGAAATTTAAATATTTTGGACGCAGTTGTATGACTTCAACCCCAGATAAAGTATATTGTTGATCATTTTGCTTTAAAATATATAATTGTTAATTCCACTACAATAACTATTGCAAGTCATTTTGCTTTAAAATTATATTGTTGGTAATTTTACTATCAAATATGTATTATTGGTAATTTCTTTTATTTAAAAATGTATTGGTATTTTTACTATAGAATTTATTTTTATATTTTCAGGGTGTTCTGTTTTTGTGTGGAGTTTAACTATTTGTCTATAACTGCTACCCTAACAGGTGCTACCACCCCGGGTCATGATGGATCTGAGAACAACATTAATGATCTTGACATCCCGTCAAGGCTGTGTGCACAACACTGAATGGTTCTAATGTAGCAACTCAATATAGAGAAAATTTGCCGTACTTTCTGTCATTTTAAAAAAATATTTAAATTGTTGTTCTTATTTTTGATGTCCCCAATTAGTAATTGACATGTTTGGCTGTCCCTTTTGCTGACAACCATACATTCGATCTTCTTACAACTGATGTTTAATCCTTTGTTCTCGCTTTCCCTCACTACCTTCTGTATAAGTTACAGTTGCTCCCTTTCTGTGTTTGCTATCAACAGTGTGTCATCTGCATATCTAATGTCGTTAAAATTGTGATCGCCAGTAGGTAGAACTTCTAATTTACTCAGACTGTCTCACTTTATAAGTTGAATAAGTCCAGTAAGAAGACACATCCTTGTCTTACAGTGCTTTTTTATTTTTGTATATATATGTATATTGAATTCATTTTCTGCCTGTATGCAGGCAAATACGTTATGCATTATTCTCACATCCTTGCCAAATATGTCAAGGTTACCTTGAACTTTCAACAATTCTTTGTGACGTAAACGGTAGACATGATCTTGCCATTTTTCTTTCTACCTTTCTTAAAGGGCCGATTAATCAGGGTGCTGACAAGTTTGCATCCTTTTGCAGATCAGTCGCACAGCTTCGCAGCAATCATCTATCTGGGTAATACGAAGGCTCGAGTTTTATTATTTTTAGATGTTGATTGTTAATTGCAGACGCATGTTCTGTATTAAATTGGTCTTAAATATTCATATCCACAAAGTGGAAATTCAGAAACCAGCTTATTGTACAATAACAAGTGGATTCCACACTGAATGATATGTTGACAGAAGCATTAAGACTAAGCTTCAACTCATGCAATAAATAAGTAAACGTATATTTTTCTTGTTCAAGATGATAGGTAGAATGTTTCAGTTAAATTCTTAAAGAGATTGATATAAAAATTAACAACGGGGATACATTAATCATTTGCAATGTGTAATATATTTTAGTGGTACTATTACAATAACACTAGACTTACCTGTTACCCGTTGGGTCACTGACGCTTTAGTTTATAAAACAATGAAGTTAATGTCAACAATTAAAAAAGAAATGTCTGATTGAAAAAAGTTGAAATAAAAATACTTACTTACTTCATTACAAACACGCATTTTTAAATATTATTCACTTAAAATATTTTAAAATTAGACTGACTTAAAATATTTTTAATATGCCAAAAGATATTTTAAAATCATATTCTCTTAAAAATATTTGTTAAATATGACAAAAAATATTTTTTAAATATTTAAAATATTGCTTTTTTTAAAAAAAAAAAAATCTGCAATATAAATAAGCATCCACGCAATCGCAGAGGTGTGGAAAGATGGAGAAGTGGAAAAGAAGGAGAGGTTGAAAGACAGAGATGTGGAAAGAGCGAGGTGGAAGAAGAAAAGTGAAAAGACGGAAAGGTGGAAAGAGAGAGAAGTGGAAAAATAGAGGTGGAAAGGCAGAGAAGTGGACAGAAGGAGAGGTGGAAAGAGAAAAGTGGAAAGAGAGAGGTGGAAAAAAGAGAGGTGAAAAGAGAGAGGTGGAAAGAAAATGTTGGAAAGATAGAGGTGGAAAGAGGGAGGTGGAAAGAAACTTCAATCATTATGCGCGCGAGGGACGACGTACGCCCGATTCACATACTTTTGTTATCATACTTCCCGTTGATTTAATGAAGGTTCTGATTATAAAACATTGAAGTTGCTTTCAATATTAAAATCTGTCTGTTTGAAGAAAGTTGAAATAAAACTACTTACTGTATAAACAAATCGTATTTTTAAAGCATATTCACTTGAAAATATTGTTAAATATGGGCAAAAATATTTTTTAAATATTTAAAATAGTGTTTGTTTAAAGAAAGCTGAAATATGACTGAGGACGCACGCAATCACGGGAAGGTGGAAAGATAGAGCGATAGAAAGAGAGAAAAGTGAAAAGAGAGTGGTGGAAATAAAGGGAAATGGAAAGAGAGAGATGGAAAGAGAGAGAGGTAGAAAGAGAGAGGTGGAAAGAGAGACAGGTGGTTTCACTGTCAATTCATATGTATATACCATTTCCTTCTCTCCCCATGCCTACACGATAAAAAAATTACATCTCTTTTTCCCCCACTCTCTATGTATGACTTTGTATGCACGGTGGTAAACTAACAAGCAGGAAAGCAAAGTCCATATTGAAAAAAACTGTCCGTTTGAAGAAAATTGAAATAAAAATAGTAACTATATAAACAAATCGTATTTTTAAGCATATTCACTTGAAAATATTATAATATGGCAAAAAATATATTTTAAATATTTTAAATATTGTTTGTTTTATGAAAGCTGAAATATAAATAAGCACGCTCTCAATCACGGGAAGGTGGAAAGAGAGATGTGGAAAGAGAGAGCGATAGAGAGAGAGAGAGGTGAAAAGAGAGTGGTGGAAAGAAAGGGAGGTGGAAAGAGAGAGCTGGAAAGAGTGAGAAGTGAAAAGAGAGACAGGTGTTCTCACTGTCAACTCATATATACATATTATTTCCTCCTCTTCTTATGCCTACACGATAAAAAAATTACATCTATCTTTCCCCCATTCTCTATATACGACTTCGCATGTACGGTGGCAAACTAACAAGCAGGCAAGCAAAGATAATAGAGATTTAGTATTAGAAATATTTTAGAAAACAATTAAAAGATTTATTCCAAAATCGGATATTAATCTCCTAACAACCTAATTTTATTACTAATGCGAAATGAACCAAATTCATGATTTTCAAGAGTAAATTTGCATCCAGGTTCCTACAACATTTTAGCTTTTTTAATATTTTTTGCTATCAGAATGTGGCATATTTGATAAGAACAGCAGTAAAAAAAAAAAAAAAAAAACAAAACGACAACGCTATGGAAACAGAATTAGCAGACACCATAAAATTTAAAATATAGCGTTCCTACATTATCATCGCTTCCACTGGGTGCATAATAATGACCTTCCTTTACGTTTATTTCTTCCAGGGTTGCGCTATATATATATATATATATATATATATATATATATAGTAAAGTAAAATAAAAGCACTCTTTAAGAATAATATTTTTGGGTTATATATATATATATATATATATATATATATATATATATATATATATATATATATATAATTGTGTATTTGGGCAGAAATCCTTTTTTTATACAAGTTTCATGAAAGACGATATAAGTTACTGTGATTAACCTTTCTATTCAATGTTTCTTGTGTTCATGTAAGTGATTCTTTCCCGGGTAAAAAAGTGTGTCGACCTGGGTATGACGATAAACTGCGTCCAACTGCAAGGCCTGTGATCAGAAGGTTTTAGAGAGAGTGGTGTTAACTCGTAATTGCTGTTGTCCCCAAAACGGATTTTTCAGGTACAGCCTGCTGAAAAGGAAAATTATTGAAAAGCTAGTACCACCATTTTATATATATATATATATATATATATATATATATATATATAGATAGATAGATAGATAGATAGATAGATAGATAGATAGATAATATTAGTGGTTAATATACACATACATATATGTACATATATCTAAAACACACAAACATATATACAAACGTGCATACACATATAAATGTGTGTGTGTGTGTAAAAACATTCCGTGAGGATAGAATCTAGATAGAACTCAATGTCCAGGACTATGTTAAGGATATAATAAAAGGCTTAAAAACACTAGTACGCCATTGTCATAATTTATTACATTGGAATCGTAAATACGATCAATTCATCAGACCTACAAAATCAAAAAGCTTTTTAAATTTGTAGGTCTGATGAATGAATCGTATTGATTCCAATGTAATAAATTTTGACCATGGGGAAGATTTAAATATTATTATTATTATTATTATTATTACCTTATATATATATATATATATATATATATATATATATATATATATATATATAAATATATATATATATATATATGATATTCCACCAATAAGAACATTACTTTATTTTGATGTCTTAAAGGAAGAAAGAAGTTACGTAGAATTTTTTTCAACTCATTCTGCAAAAACTGGATATGGATTTACTTTAAATTGAATGCAGAAAATCTGTTAGAATATAAAATCAATTTTCGCCAAAATAAGAAAAATTGAACAGAACAGTAATCAGTGTAAATTAAAATCACTGCTTTTATATAAATGTGTTCTTTCATCACGACCCCGGGACGCCATGTTAGCGAAAAACAAGTATTAAAAATTTAATAATGAAGCACACGCACAAAGATACACACGCATATGTTTCTTTCTTTCTGAGCTGAGGAAGCCGATCTAACGATAGCAAAACGTATAATAGAGTCGGTAGAACAATCTATCACTTTGTCAAATTGATCAAATTTTCCTTGGTTTCTATATTCTATTGATACATATAGAATTATTTTAAATTTGTCATTCAATTACGTAACAATCTTCTGATATATAGAAATCTATATTTTATATATTTCCGCAGATTGATTTATATATTTCCGCCTCTTTTTATATTGCACAGATTTTATAGATTCTTAACTCTTTTTATGGACTGAAAAGTACACTTGGGTTACATATTCTACCTATGGCAACTCAAAAGACAGGTCTACTCACAATATGTCCGAATGGTGAAATAAACGAAGCGTTCACGTGTGTTGACTTTTCTAATCAGCCAATCATTCATGTGGAACATAGCGTAATAAATCTATAATGGCGACATTAGCGACAACATCAATCTAACTCCCAACTTGTGATCTAAAATAAAGCCTTAATTAACGCACGCTTACAAAAGACTTAATCAGGTGATGGAAGTTGAAGTGGTCTCGAAAAATTCAACGTCACGATTTGGTCGGAGCAGTAACGCGTTGATGCGCGATCTTGTCTCATGCTTTGTAAAAGATAATGTTCATGAGGACTGCAAATCAAAGCCGCGTGAAAGACTGAGGTTTCAATAAAATATTAGCTTGGTGCAAAAATAATGTCGTTGAAGTTGAACGTCAAAAAACGACATTATTTTTACACCAACCTAATAACATAACCGCGGAAGCAAAAAAGAAAAATGACAAATATTTCATTAATAATCGATATAATGAATCATAAGTGATTTTCCTTTTTAGGAATTACGAATATATGTCTACCCTAACTAGTAATGATTGGTGGCTGTTAAGAATAAAGTACAAAATACTTGAAATCGTCAAGAATGTCAAATTCGTAGTAGGAAGAATACTTGAATGAGGGATTTTGATAGTGGTGCATTTTTATGTTTTTGTAATTACAAAAAGGCGCGATATTTTGTGTAATTACAAAATGGCAAGAATTAGCGGGATCAATATGATCCACCGGATACAGATTCCTTAGGGAGGAAAGCCAGCTGTCCTTTCAATTATCGTCTCGCTTTTCAGTTGGTGCTTCTGCTATGTATCTAGCGATTCTTGGTAAAATTGAAATGTTATTGGTCCTAACCTGACATCCTCTATTCAATTACTTTCCCATCGCCATAACATATCCTTCCTGTGTGATTTCTATAAATATTTACATAATAATTGTCCTATGTTTTCTTTTTGGAGGCATTGTAAATACACAATGGGCTGAGATTTTAAATTGTTTTATTCTTCTCTCCTCATACACACCAAAAAATTGTATATATGTTCACTAGTTAGAACATCATAAAGACTTTGAGGTATTATGGTGAATGTAGTTGAATGGTAAGTAAGAATATGTTGTTTTGGCATAAAGAAAGCTGTAGTAAGTTTTGGTCAGTCATTATGGCAAGATGGTTTATTTATAAGGCAGATGAACATCCTTCCACATCCACAATTTTGACCTTGTGCCACATTTCTCTACTTTGCTCTTCTTTTCGGTAATTGAACTTCGCGAATATAAGCGCAGTGCTAGATTGACAGATAGGTCTCATCATTTTACTGCTAAAATTGTTAAATGTAACAATAATTTCTATGCAAACAGATTCTCCTATTTGTAGAAATATTTCTCGGTCTTTCGCGAAAACAACAATCTTCAAACATTTAAATGTAATGCCAACCACTATCTCTATCCCCTTGAAACTTGTTTTTTTATTATACTTTTCTCAGTTTCTGTCATTCTTAGTAAAACCTAGCATCTTAGGGGCCTTATAACCGTGATTGGGGTGAATTGATTAAATTTATTTTTTTTTACAAATTATCAACATTTCATTAAAAATTAAAAAATTTGGGATTGTAAGAATATTTTTTTTTTTTTTTGCGAATAAAATAATTTATTAATAATTAATTTGGAGATAATAATGATTTTCAGATAAAAGTTTATTTAAACCTTATCTGTTAATAGAGACGACATGAATTCATACATTTACCAATGGTATTGCAACTATTTAACCCATAGAGAGTGGATTCATATCTTTGCGTGTAAATGAATGTAACTCACCCGACTGGAATTCGATCTCGGCTCTGGAATTTCTCATTCCTGGCCGTTACCGATGACAACATCCATACGTCCAAGCTAACAGCACATGGTATTCCAATGCGGTCACCTATCGCGGTACTGGCTAGGTTCGATCATACTTAACTTCGGTGATGTTTCAACTTGTTATAGGTATAAATGAAGAGATAACAAAGGAAACTGGACCTTCTTTGATGAGAACCATCATGTAGAACCGGAATCTGAAATTTTGAAAACACAGACGATACGCAACATAAAGTAATGTAAATAACCTTTATATAGCAACGTAGATAGTGGCATAAAAGGAAAATGTTGTTTTCTTCCATGAAAACGCAAGGCCGAACACAGAAAGAATTACACGGAAAAATAAAATTGGAACTCGTTCAGCCTGCCAGATTCTGTCCCCCATTTTCAACTAACTTCGCGGCAACCGATTATTTTCGGTAGTTTCACTGCCAGAGTTTGGTTCGGTTTGGTTTGCTTTACGGCATATCAACTTCAATGGGTTATTTAATGCCGACATCTTTTTTTCCTGGTAATATTTTGTTTTGTCAATACGTCTGGTAATATTTTCACTTCAAAAATGTATAGATAGTAACATTATTTTTAAAAATGTGTTGCTGTTAATATTTTCAATCAAAAACGAATTGCTGTTAATACTTTTTTTCAAAAACATATTGTTGGTAATAATTTTTTCCTTGAAAAATTTATTTCGGGTAATAATTTTTTACAACGTATTTGGCATATATTAAAACCTATTTTTACACTTTTATAAGGCTCCTTACCTCATTTTTGGGAGTTAACTATTTGCCCAGGGCGGAGACCCTAACGGGTGCTACCACCTCGGGTCAGGGCGGACCTAGGAATAACAGCAATTAAAAGGTGGTTCCACACTCCTCAAAATCTCCTGATCAGAGGCCTTGCTGCTGGACGTAGTTTATTGTCTTACCCTGGACGCGGATGTAGTTTATCGTCATACCCAGAACTGCTCGTTGCAAGTGATATAAATGGAGAGGTTGTATAAAGAAAGAGAAAAAAAATGTATAAAAAAATAGATTCAGTAGTTACGGAAACAGATTTGAGGAACTGCTGAATTTAATTCTAAAGGCATCGAATAACCAGTCAGTCAGTTATGTGCCATGCATGATTAGGCAATCATGTATGACTGACAAAACAGATTTTTTCCCGCACGAGGTGGCCATTTCTTTCTGCAGTAGACCAGTTGCCATCCAAGACCGTAGAACTCGGTCTGTCCTGAGAAGAGAAGATGATTCATACATGGAACATTAACATATATTAACAAGTGAATGTAATGGATTTGACTAGGATTCGAACTCGGCTCTCCGATTCCCTAATCCGAGCCGTTATTTATTACTCCATCGTGCATCATCGAATAGCGACCGTTGCAAATAATGATAAACATGTAATAAAATAAAATGATATTTTTTTTTTGGAGAAAATTTGCTCAACAAATTATTTACGATATTGCTTCGTCTTGATACCTACCTCCAAATGTCTCTTTATTCATTGTAATTTTTCTCTATGAATATCCAACAGAATTCCACCTAATACAATAAATATTAGAAGGAATTAATATACTTAAAAACTAACATTTATAAGAATATGAAATAATAGCAGATAAATTAATAAAAAAAATCACTATGGTTCATGTTTTGAAGGGAGCAGATATAGATTGATAAAAGGCCCAAAGAGGAATGATCATTATTTAATTAAGTAATCAAAACTTTGCTCTATAAACGCGTTCTCCGTGGCCATTCGGTACAGGCACGTTTTGACTATAGAAGCAGGTAACTTGATGGAAAACCTTCATAGAGGATCGAATCCTAACGGAAGTACAATCAGTCTTTAGTAGACCATCTCAGTCTAGGGCGGGTGTTATTAATTTCACTGTTAAATAAAATAATAACAAAAGTAAACTGAGATAGGAGCACCAATATGTGTACCCGCTAAAAACAACCATTATCTTAACGAGAAATAATGTCGGATAAAACATCAATAGCAAATTAATATATATATATATATATATATATATATATATATATATATATATATATATATATATATATATATATATATAAAAAAAGAAAGAACAGTAAGATATAAAATCCCGTGTTCTTATAGATATTTTTATTTTTACAAAATAGTGCTCAATGTAAATTTACAGATCATTAATATTATAAATTAATTGATTTAAAATATGTTTTTTTTTAGACGACATCCATTCAACTGATGTTAGGTTTCATTGTAAAATACATCCCTACCCCTTACCAAATTGTTGCTAATAACTGATACAATGATACTGACATAAGGAAAATCTAGACATCCCTTGTTCAATTTAAGTAGAATATTCTGTAACCATGGAAACGTGATTTTAGCTGTGTCTTTAAAACCCGGTAATTTTTAAAAGTTACTCAAAATTCGCTTGAAGATGAAATGGAACTAATGCTTTTAATTTAATTGCAAAAATTAAATTCAGGGTTTTTAGCTTCTATTTTTTGAAACATGGTTGGAACTGTGTAGCGAAAAAAAACATATTTTAAATCAATTAATTTATATATATATATATATATATATATATATATATATATAATTAAAATATATCTCTTTTAATCGCATTCAAGTTTCCCACCTCATTCGTTATATTGATTGTGTCTTTGATTGTTTTCCAATTTGTCAACGTATACCTCTGAAAAAGTGTTGGTCCAAAGGTACCTAATGTATAGCATGACGTCCGTTTTGTTTAAATCTGTTTTATTTCTGCGGGTGCAAATCACTTTCTGTATATATATATATATATATATATATATATATATATATATATATATATATATATATATATATATATATATATTTGTGTGTGTATATATATATATATGTATATATATATATGATTATATATATGTGTGTGTGTGTGCGTGTGTGTATACATATGTTTATATATATATATATATTATTTAATATGAGTTTTATTTCATATTGAGCACTTTATTGCTATGTGTTCTCTTTATACGCAAGCACACACTCACACAGAGTGATTCACTCACACGCACACGCTCACACATATTATCATGGAATATTTCTCGAAAAATATTTTATCTTAGGATATATGATGATGAAATATTCAGAGATAACAATACTTTCGTTTGTTTGTAAGAAAAAAAAAGCCATTTTCTATGTTGGCCGTGACAAAAATTCCTTATTGATATCGTGTTCTATTGTTTTTGCTGCCATTTTGTA